AAAAAAAAGGGATAAAAAGGGAAAAAAAAAAGGGAGGGGAGGGAGGAGAAAATAAGGAAAAAAGGGAGAGGCAGACTTTCCTTCCCAAAAAAAAGAAGTTTTGTGTCTAGAAATCATTGAGAGAGAAAAAATGAAGAAAAAGAAGATACCACCTACTCCTGCAATAAGTGACCTCTCATCTAAGATACACTGGATAGAGAAGGGAGAGGACACAAGAAAGAGATCAAGAAATGGGAAATCAAGCAGAAATGTGCACTTGAGGAGGGGTGAGAGGTAACGTGCCAATGGGGAAAACAGACTTCCAGTTTGACGAAATAAGGGAATGGCTTCTTCGGCTCACCTAGGAGGAGAGAGTCAGTGGAAAACATAATACAATGTAGTTGACCCAGGGTGATTGAACATGTTACAAACACAGTCATTATCTGACCTTTCACCTCCACACTTGGTCCTCTTAGCAGAAATGAGAGGAGGAGAGCACCGAAGAGACACCAGGAGAAGCACAGGAGAAGCACCAGGAGAGCACTGACATTGCACTCAGAAATTAAAAGAGAAGATGTTGGTCAGAAACGTAGAGAGAGAGAGAGAAAAAGAACACGCCCTCAGGACGACCGAAGTTTCACTTTTATTCCTTGATTGAATGCTCTGCATCCTCATCCCCTAAGATACACATCCATGAAACCACCCCACCGAGCCGGATACATAAATATGGTACCACCGCCACCTCCAATACCGTCCAAGCATCACTTGCGCACCGTCCAACTCACATCCAACCTCACTCCACCTCCTCACCTGCCACTCGACCATCCGCTGCCACATGCACCCCCTACCTTCACACCTTTCTCACCTTCACCTCCTAGACGTACACGAATACATCGCACCTCCCCTCCAACTTCCATCCCCTACTATCTCCTCCCTCCACTTCACCTCCATTCGCACCTTACCCTCGCCGTTCACCTCCTCACCTCCCTCCACCTCCACCTCCTAGCACCTTCCACAATCCCTCCAGCTGCACGTATCACACCTCCCTCCACCTTCAGAATACCATCCACATCCTCCAAACACTTCCAGCCTGAACAGAAAAGAAAGCTCCACCTCACCAACTCAGAAACCTTCCACCTCAACCCTCAACCTTCCTCCACCTCCATACACTCTCCACCTCCCCTCCACCTCCACCTCCACCTCCACCTCCAACCTCCCCCCACCTCCCCTCCACCTTCATCCACCCCACCTCCCACGTCACCTCCCCTCACTTGCCACCTCCCTCCACCTCCCCTCCACCTTCCAAACCTCCCTCCACCGTTCACATCCCCTCCACCTTCCACCTCCCCACCTCCACCCCCTCCACTTCACCTCCCCTCCACCCCCCCTGCACCTCCACCCCCACCTTCCACCACCCCTCCACCTTCCACCTCCCCCACCACCTCCGCACCCTCCCCTCCACCTTCCACCTCCCTCCACCTTCCACTCCCCTCCACCTTCCACCTCCCCTCCACCTCCCCCCCCCCTCCCCCTCCACCTCCCCTCCACCTTCCACCTCCCCTCCACCTCCCTCCTCCCCATCCACTTCCACTCCCCTCCACCCTTCCACCTCCCCTCCACCTCCCCTCCCTCCACTCCCTCCACCTTCCACCTCCCCTCCACCTCCCCGCACCTCAGCCTCCCCTCCACCTCCATCCCCTCCACCCCCTCCACCTTCCCCCCTTCCCCTCCACTCCACCTCCCCTCCACCTTCCACCTCCCCTCCACCTCCCCTCCACCTTCCACCTCCCCTCCACCTTCCACCTCCCCTCCACCTCCCTTCCACCTTCCACCTTCCCTCCACCTTCCACCTCCCCTCCACGTTTCACCTCCCCTCTACCTATCCACCTCCCCTCCACCTTCCACCTACCCTCCACCTTCCACCACCCCCCTCCACGTTTCACCTCCCCTCCACCTTCCACCCTCCTCTCCCACCTTCCACCTCCCCTCCACCTCCCTCCACCTCCACCTCCCCTCCACCTTCCACCTCCCCTCCACCTCCACCTCCCCTCCACCTTCCACCTCCCCTCCACCTCCCCTCACACCTTCCACCTCCCTCCACCTTCCACCTCCCCTTCCCCCCCCACCTTCCACTCCCCTCCACCTTCCACCTCCCCTCCACTTCACCCCTCCCCTTCACCTCCCTTCCACCTCCCCTCCACCTTCCACTCCCCTCCACCTTCCCCCTCCCCCCACCTCCCACCCCTCCACCTTCCTCCACCTCCCCTCCCCTTTTCACCTCCCCCACTTCCACCTCCCCTCCACCTTCCACTCCCCTCCACTCCCCTACCACTTCCACCTCCCTCCACCTTCCACCTCCCCTCCACCTTCCACCTCCCCTCCACCTTCCCACCTTCCCCTCCACCTCCCCCCTCCTATCCCTCCCCTCCACCTCCCCTCCACCTTCCACCTCCCCCCCCCTCCTCCACCTTCCACCTCCCTCCACCTTCCACTCCCCTCCACCTCCCCTCCTCCTCCCTCTCCCCTCCACCTTCCCACCCTCCCTCCACCTTCCACCTCCCTCCACCTTCCCTCCCCTCCACCTCCACTCCCCTTCCCCTCACCCCTCCCCTCCCCTCCCCTCCCCCTTTCCACCTCCCCTCCACCACTCCCTCCACCTCCCCTCCACCTTCCACCTCCCCTCCACCTTCCACTCCCCTCCACCTCCCCTCCTCCCCCCTCCACCTCCCTCCTCCACCTTCCACCTCCCCTCCACCTTCCACCTCCCCTCCACCTTCCACCTCCCTCCACCTTCCCCCTCCTCCTCCCCTCCACCTTCCACCCCCTCCACCTCCCCTCCTCCTCCACCTCCCCCCTTCCACCTCCCCTCACCTTCCACCTCCCCTCCACCTCCACCTCCCCCTCCACCTTCCACCTCCCCCCTCCACCTCCCCTCCTCCTCCCCTCCCCCCTTCCACCTCCCCTCCACCCTCCCCTTCCACCTTCCCCCCCCTTTCCCCTCCACCTTCCACCCCCCCTCCACCTTCCACCTCCCCTCCACCTCCCACCTCCCCCTCCACCTTCCCCCCCTCCCTCCACCTCCCCTCCACCTTCCACCTCCCCTCCACCTTCCACCTCCCCTCCCCCCCCCTCCCCTCCCCCTTCCCCCTCCACCTCTCCCCTCTCACCTTCCCCTCCCCTCCACCCCCTTCCACCTCCCCTCCACCTCCCCTCACCTCCCTCCCCTCCCCCTTTCCCTCCCCCTCCACCTCCCCCCACCTCCACCTCCCCTCCCCTTCCACTTCCCCTCCACCTCCCCCTCCCCCTTTCCCCACCCTCCCTCTCCCCTCCACCTTCCCACTTCCCCTTTCCCACCTCCCCCCCTTCCACCTCCCCTCCACCCCCCTCCCCCCACCTCCCCACCACCTTCCACCTCCACCTCCACCTCCCCTCCCTCCTCCCCTCCACCTTCCACCTCCCTCCACCTCCCCTCCACCTTCCACCCTTCCCCTCCACCTCCCCACTCCCCCTCCACCATCCCTCACCTCCTCCCCCCAAACCTTTCCCCACCTCCACTCCACCTTCCACCTCCCCCCCCCACCTACCCCTCCACCTCCCCCCTTTCCCCTCCACCTTCCACCTCCCCTCCACCTTCCACCTCCCCTCCACCTTCCACCTCCCCTCCACCTTCCACCTCCCCTCCACCTTCCACCTCCCCTCCACCTCCCCCCTTTCCCCCCTCCACCTTCTACCTTCCCCTCCACCTCCCCTCCTCCTCCCCCACTTCCACTTTCCCTCCCTTCTTCCACCTCCCCTCCACCTTCCACCTCCCCTCCACCTTCCACCTCCCCTCCACCTCCATCCACCTCCCCTCCACCTCCTCCTCCTTCTACTTCCTCTCCGTTTTATCCTCCACCTATTCCTCCTCTTTCTCCTGGTCATCCTCCAGTAATCTTTATAAATGAGAACATAAGAAGGAACACTGCAGCAGGCCTACTGGCCCATTCTTGGCAAATCCTTGTCAAACCCAAAACCAACTTACAAAATATTCACCCACTCCGTTTAACCTTCATCCTATCGATCTTCCTCTTCTTCCTGTGTGTCTACAACTCCTCCTGGATGGTACAATATGAAGGAAGTGGATACACTCCAGGCCTCTTCACCTGTACATTTGGGCAGCTTCCATTCTTCTCATACCTATTTCTGACAGCAGATATTGATGATTGCCGCAGGTGTCTAGGTGGAGGGGGGAAATGTGTGGAGGGGAGAGTAAATATGGGAATGGGAGATGTAAAGAGTGGGGGGGGGATGTGAGGATGCAGAACGTAATATAGGGGAAATAATGTTGGGAGAAAGAGAAAGAGAGATTTTATGGCCCTAGCATGGTTGCAAACCTTAGGATCCTCTAGAGTTTCTCCACTCGTTGTTATTATGTGTGTGTGGTGTGTGTGTGTGGAGTGTGTGTGTGTGTTGTGTGAGTGTGAAGTAGTGTGTGTGTTGTGTGTGTGTTGTGTGTGTCTGAGTGTGTTGATGTGTGTATGTGTATGTTGTGTGTGTGAGTGTGTGTGTGTGTGTGTGTTGTGTGTGTGTGTGTGTGTGTGTGTGTGTGTGTGTGTGTGTGCCTTTTCTCTCATGGATAAGAGGTCGAAAAAATATAAAATATAGGTGGAAATACGATCCCTGTGTCTTTTTCTCATCTGTCTTCTAACATTTGACATTTTCATTCCACTGTTATTTGTGATTCACATTAATCAAAGAGGCTACTGTGTGTGTTGTCTTTGAACGTGATATATATTGTGTTCTCTCCCTGAACGTGTTCCGTTTTGTGTCCCTTTCTTTGAACGTGTTCTGTTTTGCACCCTCTCCCTGAACGTGTTCTGTCGTGTGTCCTTCCTTTGAACGTGTTCTGTTTTGCATCCACTCCCTGAACGTGTTACATTCTGTGTCCCTGTCTTTGAACGTGTTCTATTTCATGATATTTCTTAACCAAAGTATCCATATTGTGTCCTCTCTTTGAACGTGTTGTTTCGTGTTTGTTTTAG